GCTTATAAAAAAAATGTTTGATAATTTATTTTTGTTATTTTTCAACTACCATTACAACAATATATTAAGATTCTTGTTTTACATTTTCAAKCCTTTTTACTCAACGAATAACATTTTATTGATATTAATAGAAAAATAATTTCAAATTTCAAATGTCTGTAAATAACTTGAAAAGATTTGAAATATTTTGAAATTTCATCAGGTACAGGAAATGCCAACATAAAAATTCAGTGAAAACTTCATGTATTACGGGTAGATATTTGTTTTAAAGTTACACCAACATCTAAAATCGATTTTACTTAGTAATTCCCGTTTTTCTTAAATATTCTTTTTTCCAGCGCTTTTGAAAACTACTAGGAATTTTGACCTGCCTAATGCACCAACTAGATTCACTTTCCAACCGGAAAAGCTACTTAAATTGATAATATTGACATATTAGTATATTACCTCAGCAACTTATCGTCTACACATACACATAAATAAATAAAACACACTATACATCATAGTAAAATCAATACATTCATCGCTCCCCTCAAAACCTAAAATAAAATCACATGCAATGTCCGTGACTAACATGTTTTCTAAATTATCCAATATGCTTCGTTTGTGGTTATATTTATTACCTCACGATTAACAGCCATAAGAGCCAAGCCAATACATTTTTTGAACTGGAAAATGGGATAGAGAGCCAGAGAAGGAACCGCGTTAGCATTACTTCTCCTCTGACTCAAAATATTAATTATATGTCATTATAATAACTGTAGTTCATATAATGTACATATTATATAGTTGGAGTATTTATTTCAGCGTTTATATATTACCATATTAAGAAAAAATAGTGCCTACATATTACTTATTAGTTATATAATATTAATAATATATAGGTAGGTACTACAATAGTAATATACACTTTTAGCCAAAACACTTGCAAACCTATAATATGTATACAAACCTATTATATATACATACATTCAAATTACAAACGTATTGGAAAACAAAATAATAACGGTCTAACTTCTAATGATAAGCATGAAGACTTCCATCGCCATAATAATATTATCGTATGTCCGTGCAGGTGTATTTAAATTGTATATCTAACACGCCGTGCTGCGTGACAATATTTTAACTAAAAAAATTATTGTACATTATATTATATTTCGCATTCTACTCATTTTATTACATTTGAAATAGAATTTTATTTAAGATAATTGAAAACCTTTTTATTWTTCTGCGCTTACATATTTTTTAGTATACTGTGTGGCTCACGGCTCTTATCGCTGGACACCATTGAACTATATAGTTATATTAGTATAATTAATTTTTCTACTATATACGGTTATAATGCGGTTAGGTGGCTTAAATATGATATATAGGTATAATATGTAGTCATGTAGATAGTAAATATAGTACATTATTATAATATAGATAAGGTTTTAATCAGTTTAAGAACAGTTCAGTTAAAGTTACTTATTTAATAATTTAATCCAACTACAATGTAAAATATTTACCTATGTGCGTAATCGTGTTGTGTTTACTCATATTTAAAAAGGTAAGAAATGCGTTATCGTACTGGACTGATTCTGCATTGCTTGCATCCACTATTTGTTTAGACCTCTTTAGATCTCTGTGTAACCCACCCAAAAACATAACGACCCATAATTTTGTATCGCAACCCTGCACACTTTTAGAATCCCTGATATATATTTTGGCGAATCTATAGTATGCAGTGAATACAATTTATTAAATATAATAATTATAATTTATAGCCCATATAGCGAGGTGGTAAACGGTGTTATAGTATAATATACATACTTAGAATTATTTATAATATCTTAGTTGTAATATTTTTCGATAAGATAAWATAGGTGAGAAAAATATTAAATAATTAATTATGAATAATATATTTTAGTACATTTTATTTGAATATTATTTCTAAATAATTCTTACTTACACACAGATACATATCAATATAAATATATGTACAAACAAAGTTTTTGCAAACAAAATTGGTAAGTATAGTAGTATATTATGATGGAAACGGGGGACGGTTGCACATCAAATATACTTGCCTAGGGTGGCAGAATATTTTGGGTCGGTCCTGGATTCGTATTTACAATATAATATATAAATTACAAATTTACATTCCATACAAAATCAAATTTTCACAATGATAATGATGACAATAATAATAAAATTAATGTAATAATAACAAGTTTCAAGCATCTGATTATATCTACACGATCTAATCAAATTAGATACATTTAATATAATATACTATAAACACTATTGTCTATCAAAAAGAATTACATTATAAGKTAGGTTCCCATGTTATTATTATCATAAAATTGTGTGGTGTATGCAATAAAGCAAAAAMTAAAAATAATTAACTATTATAATAATACGTGAGATACTATTTTCCTGATATAATAAAAAGATACTTAAAATTAATAAAATTATTTGATTTCATTAAGATAACAATAAAATATTTTCGGTGGTTTTGGAAAAAGTAAAATTTGCTTATAATAGGTATAGGAACGCATCAAAACTGTGACGGACGGAAGAAGAAGCAATTTTTTTATTTGAAGAAGGATTTGCTCAAACACGGAATCATGTTATGTTCTCATATACATATACCTGAATTTATTTATAACATAAATAAATAGCCATCAAAAGTAATAAACACCTATAGTATCTTTGTAACGATAACGCGTAACACTTGTGTATAAAAATCGGTATTAATATAGCTTTTGTTTAACACTATAATATCCGTTTATATAATACGCTCTACAACGGAAAAAATGTATTTTTTAAAATAGCATTAAAGTTTTAATGGAGCTTGAAAAATATTTGAAAAACATACGAAACGGTGAAGAGATACGAATATGGATGTGTAGTACAGTGCGAGAAGGCGCCAAAATCGCGTAGTTGCCTTAATTGACGAGCTTAACTATAATGGTAACTATGTGAACTATTAACATATAAGTTGTGGGCCGATAGACGCGGAACACTAAATCGTGCTGTATAATAATATAATATGATAATTAAATGTTTGTACATGTGACAAGCAGAGTAAATTTTCCGTCTAAAGATTCTAACATAATAAAATACGAATAATGGATTAAAACGCCATAGGCTTCCATCAAGAAATTAAACATTAATTAATTAAACATGATTATATCACAGTAAAAATAATTTAAAATATTTTATCCTTTTAAATTATTATTATTTCTCATAGTAATAATTWTTGTTTCGGACGTCTTCAACGTGGTGGACGGTTGTTGGCCCCACCACGGTCTTCGTCTCATACCGGATCGCTATTCCTGCCCACCGAACACATCATTATGGAATCCTGAGATAGGTCGTCCAGGGACGAGGTTTCTGAGGCTGTAACGTAGATGATAATAATTGATATACAAATTACGAATATTATTGTTATAAAGGCGGTGTGCTTCGATCGAAAATCGACAGTTTTTGTTTACCTGGATTTTGAGGTATATAAATAGGAGATCCCCTCTGGTGTGAATGATTTGACGAAGGAGGCTGTTGAAACGAATACGTGAGGTGTAGATTTATGTGCCGGTTGAAATGATTTTCGGAACCGTTTTGTTGATGGTGAACTGTAAAMCGAAAAAAAATAAATATTTTTAATATATAATTACTAATCTATAATAATAACCTATTAACAATACACTCCAATTAAGCGACGATAATTATATTCTAAGCCATGTTTATTATAGAAATACGTCTTTATTAAATGATATCTTTATATTAGCCATGAGGTGAATATTATAGTGTCGTCGAATTGCAGGTATAGCCAGGTAGGTATGATATTAGTATATGTATTACGCATTTAAGTTTTAAAATGCCTGTTGTGTAATACATACGTAATCCGGATGGAGTGTTTTTCACTTTTCCAGTGTGCAAATGCTTTTTTTGCCTCGCCCTAGAATTCTGAAACCACACTTGAGTAACTCTTTTGCTCAGTCCAGTAATTTGTGCTATCCTTTCCAAGTCTTGCCCGTCGGGGTTAGAATCCAATTGGAAATTAGCTTGCAGMACTTGCAATTGTTCTTCAGTAAATGTGGTCCGAACTCGTTTTGCTTTATTCTTGCTGTGATAACTTTCCGAATCTCCACCCTCTGCCGAAAAAAAAATTAACAATGTTATTTTTTGATTA